TGTTCGGCTATACTCTGAATTCTCAATCTTTCATTCTCCTCTTTGGCAAGGCACCGCTAGTCTTCGTCTGCAACTCCTGCTGCACTGGCCTCAGCATGCTGTATCCGTTTCTGCGCATTTTCCGCAATGGCAGTTTTCTCATATTCCACTTATTGTGTCATTGCCTGCCTCTGCCTCAGAAACTGCGAGCATGCGTTTAGCCTCTTCAGCAGCCATCTTATCTACCTGTGCCTAAAGAATGAACTGCTGAATATGTGCACTCCCGGCCTTAATTGTTCTCGATCCTGTCAATTTTTCCGCCCGCTCTAGAATGGCGACACGATGGCAATTGTGCTCTCCCTTCGCACTGCATTCCCCACTAAGCCATGCTGGACTACACTCAGGGCAAACATTCGAACATTCTGAACACACTGGCCTCCGACATGGACCCCCCGGCTTGCGCGCCTTCCCCGGGCGTCGATTCTCCGCCGGAGTCGGCACATGGGCCCAGCGTTCCAGCAACTCCCCCGTGACGAGAAGCTGTTGGTGGTTCTATCCGATGACAACCGCGGTGATCCAAAAGCGCCGAATCCCCTGGAACTGGAACGTCCGGCCCTGGGGGCCTTACTGGAGCATCCCCGTTCACTGCTGGAGGTAGGCGTGTGTTGTTCTCTTGTCCTCACACCCCTATTGATGAAATCGACGTCCCGATTATGTGCTACATCGTCTCTTTCGTCCTGCACTACTAGCTCGGCGAATGCTGGTACTCTGTCCCTGTTAGTCCTCGACAACGAGAAGTCTGGTCTGTGGGAACCAAGCAATAAAGGTGAAGAGCTTAAGTCGTCGTTCTCACCCCTCGGTTTCTTTGTCATTGGTTGGGGAGTCATGCCTGTAGATTCTCATTTCTCATTGCGCGTGTGATATCGGGGGGAGCTCGACATTGGCTGCGCAGGCGAGCACCCACCTCGGCCTGGGCTTCCTCCGTCTTCGAGATCGCCATCCGAATCAAGAGTTGCCTTCTGAATTGCCTCAACCGTCACATGGTCAACTGTCGCGCTCGCTAACGGAGCTGCGCCTGAGGCAAGCTCGACGCACCCATCGGGAACAGGATCGAGATGATACGATGGTCCAGGCGGGGCGTGGAATCGAGCTTATACTTCGTTCTTTTCAATCAAATGAGAACTGCCCTCTTCCGATCGCAAGTCGCTCACATCCTCGCTCTGCCCACGCAACGCGAACTGCGCTGCGCGTTCTGCACCGATACTCTCGACGCCCGACATTTCTACAGGGACGTGATCCAACAAAGTCTCCATCTCAAGATCTAGGTCGATCGATGGCTGAAAACCCAGATGTACTGACACCAACCCTGATGGTCACTCGGCGGAAGTTTTGGCTGCGCCATACCTTCCGCCCGAGGTTTGTGATCTGGGCCGTGTCGCGGAGTCAACCGAAGAGCCCCCTTCTGTCAAGTCAAACGCAGTCTCTGATGCTTGCTCTCTGAGAAGGTTGAGAGAATTTGGTCGCCTCATAGAGGCGTCTACACTTTCGCTACGCTCGGAAGAGTATTGGTCTTCTGTTCGTCCGAGCGCTCCTTCTTGTGTTCGCATGCTCTGCGAAGCTAACGGCTGCGCCGTCGTTTCGGTTGATCGCCAATCTTTTGCCTGGATATTCAAAATCCGTGCAATATGCTCCCATAATATATGATGGTCAGTGGGCTCCGCCGATGACATGGACAAGAAGGGATCATGCAGACAAGCATACACTAGGGTAACATTGAAGGGAGGAGGCCGGCACGCCGGCCGACGCACGCGCGCGCGCCGCAGGCTCGCTCCTTTTCCGTTTCCCTAGAGCCAAAGTTGTAGCTGCGGGAGAGAAGCAGTCAGTACATCGGACAGCGCACGCAAGGCAAAGGAGCAGGAAGGGCAAGAGGATGGTGGTGCGGAAGGGGTGCATTGACCGGGTCGACACCGCGGGGGTCGAAGCGCGCCAAGGGCGGCCGCACCAAGAGCGGCACAAATATTGGATCTTCAAACATCGGCGTGTTGCCATGGTTTCTGAACAGAGCGATCGTGGAGCCGTCCGGGTCGAAGAGGACCCCCCTCCCTTCAAAGTAAACCTCCAATCCGAGATCAAGTCCCGATTACGACGGTTTCAGTGTGGACATGTCGGACAGTACGAGCATAGTTGGGCAGGAATGCTCCCACACTGCATTACCACGACAGTTCATTTCTTAAGTCAACGGCGTAATCATCACCAATCATTATCACCAGCATCGTGATGATCGCCATCCAGCTGTCTACCAGCGTCGACCGCATCCTGAAAATTGCCATCGCTATCACGCTATTGTCATGGCCAGTGGGCCCTGCGGGATTCTCAGCGCTGCGCAAGGCACTGGGGCACCACAGCACCCCGACAGCCCTGAGAGCCATGAGGGCCAGCAGGGCTCTCAGGAACCCTGATGCACCCTGACGATCAGAAAGAAGCCCTGAAGGCAAATCAGGTCTTCTGGGAGCCCTACAGATCTACGAAGTGGTTTAGGTATCTTCGTGTTTCGAATTCCTCGGAGCCCCCTGGGCTCTTTACACCCCCTCATTGCCCCCGTAGAGGTCCTCAGGGCTCCCCTGGTCACCGCGGAGCCCCCCTATTCCGCACAGACCCCCGAAGGCCCATCAGGAATCCACAGAGCCCCCCACGTCCAACTGGGCCCATGGAGGGTCTCACAGGACTCTTGAACATTTCGCGCGACTGTTCAGAACTCCTGGCCCTCTAGGCCCACTGAGGCTAGGCTTGTTGAGGGCTGCGTTGGACTTGCTAGAGCAATGAAGAGCTCCGACAGCTTCCTTAGAATTCAAATGAAAGCTCCTAGAACTCTGAAGAGGCTTTAGCTATCGAAGTGTTGAAAGCTCATCAGTTAAACAGTCCCTCAGAAGCCCTGACGCACACCAGCGAAGCTCCTCATTGGGGCAACGAAGAACTCAATGGGTATTACCAGATCATCATCACAAATTCAAAAACCCCCTGGGGGGGGGCCTGTGTAGCTCCGTAGGGCCCCTTACGGATATGTTTCCTTAGGCCACCACGTTGAATATGGCTTCTGCCAGCTCCCCAACGTTCAGTGGTCACACGCGTTGCTTCTAGGAGTGCGGGAACATCAAGAATCACGCAAGGTGGGAGCTCCTGAACGACCCACGGGGTTGCAAAGGTCTACTGTATGCCCCGTCAGCGATCTTCATAACTCCTGAAGAAAGACTACTCATGGCACCCAGCAGCTCACCAACGCCGAGCATGAGTCTTCGGGGCTTCACATGCCGCATTACGGCCCCATGCAAGCATTTCAGATATCACTAGGGGAACTTATTGTTCTGTACGTATCTGCACTTATCCTGGGAGCCCTTTCGAGAAACCCACGATCTCTTCGGGGCGTGACAACCCTCACGATGTCTCTTCTCGTCTGAATGGCAGGTCCGTGTGGTGCTTGTCTTTCACGAAGGCGCGCCAAACAAAACAATGATGCCGGGACTTGTGAGGAATGGTCCCGTGACGGGAGAGAGCGTTGCAACATCGATGAGGCAAACTGGGCTCCTGACTCCTTGGAGCACCAAAGGGTTCCTCAACACATCCTCGACCGTCTTATGGTTCACATGGAAGCATGTTCGAGCTAACGAGAGCTGGCCGAGGTTCCCTGGACATCCGAAGAGGGATCGCACAGCCCCGGTGGATTGGTTTATAATCGCAAGGCTGCGGCGCCAACGTCAGCGACTTCGGCTGTTGACAACATGTAGAGCCACAACTCACCAGACCTCTTGGCGTAGCTGGTCTAACCCCCCAAAATGTCCCGAATAAGTTCCCAAAAAGCCCCAGGAGGGCTCACCAAAGTTCCCTGAAGCCTTGGGAAGGCTGTGACGAGGCTGCCGCCGAGGCCTCCAAGAGGTCCCCAAGACGCCCTGCAATAGACACAGAGAAATAGGAGGACAAGTGGACACAACGTACAGGCAGGCAGCACGACTGGAAGCGGCAACAACACATACGATGTCCCAACCCGCACATATCCTCTTTGGGAGGTCTGCGGAATGGCGCAAGCCTCTGGGATCGAGGTATGAGGGCATCGAGGGCGGACCACACGACGAGACAAATGAAGAATGGGGGTCAAAGCAAGCTACAAGAAACGGGAGGCTCGACGGAGGGGTGGAACCTGGGGAGATCGAGGGCGCTGATGGGGGGGGGGCCAAGAGAGAGGAAACAATGGACAACACACCCCAGTCTACAGCGGCACGACGGCACGTAAGGTTGCCGAGCCTCTCCCCCAACCCGACGACTTCCGTGAAGATCCGTGAAGGTGCGCGGACAGCCCATCCAGATTGTTCCCAGGTTTCCTTGTAAGGGAGACTGGGGACCGCACTGGGAGGCCTTGGCCCACGAGGCTGTGCTCCCCGAGCCGACCAGGGTGCAAGCGGCAGGGCTATCCATTGGGTAGGAAAAGCCACTCGCCAGAATCAGGGCCGCCAGCATCTGCGGAGCCTGCCCACCAGGAGTGGCAAGTGGCCCAAGGACCGTCCTGCTGTCACCAAGTCTTCAGGGTGGTTGCCCCATTCCAGCCTGGCTCCTACATGGCCAGGCTCATGTATGTGTCACGCCTAACCTGCTCGATGGGCTGCCCTGTTATGAAACGCTGGGCCCGAAGCGAGGAAGATCCATTCCCGTCTGCGCGCGATTTCCGAAGCCAACGTCGACACTTCCTCGCGGATGTCCTTGACGGCACGTGTATAAGGGACGTGCTACAATACAGGGAAGAGTAGGGGGACCGAGGGCAGACTGAAATTGCTAATTACCCTGAGCTCAAAGATTGCTGACTGAAAACCCTTAAAGAGCAAGCCTGACTCGGACACGAAATTGCTCAGGCCCCACTCGCGCCAGATACTCGGGTTCCGTGCGTCTCTCGACGCCTGAATTACCACCTGCGGCGGACGAGCACACATTCGGCCCCCCTGCAGCAGGCAGCGCGAATCTGCGGGGTCGGCGGCCTCCGCCTTTGGGGGCGAAAGTGCCGTCCTCCATCTCTCGGAGCTTGACTGACAGCAGCCCAGGCGGGTTGCGGGCTCCAGCCAGGATCTCGTCCAAGCTCTGCATGTCTTCCCTGAACCTTAGTATTAGCTAGATTTGCTCCGCGGCACGCGAGCAAACCACGCCTGCGAAGGCATGTAAACGTGAGATCGCGAACGTCGGGCTAAAGACAAAGGCAACTTCGCGGCACGGGTCGTTGTTTGTGGGTATTGGATCCCGAAGCGTGCCCCCAAAATTACAAGAACTTAGAATTAACGCCCGTCCTGATTTCGAACGTGGCCTGGAGATGTTCCGTGAGGTGTCCTGACTGCCTTGTATGCTTAGCGGCCGATGGGGCGACCTATGGCGAAACCAAGAACAAGCCAATGTATATCCGGCAGCCGACGGTTCACCATGTAGCGTAACCGATAGCATACCATGGCGCGACCCATAGCAGGGCTGGATTAGATTCAGCAACGGAGAATGCAGTCTGTGGCGAGCCCAACAGGACGCCTCTGTATGTTCAGCTTCCGAGGACGCAACTCAGATCGCAACCAATGGCAGGCCATCAATATGATCGCCAGCCGAGGAGTGCAATTCATAAAGCAACCTATGTCGAAGCTAATAGCGCAACACATAGATGTCAAGACCCATGAAAAAACCGATGGCGCGCCACAAGGATGGCGCAATCCATGGCTCAACGAATGGCGCAACCCATGAATGGGGCAACACATAGCGCAATGTATGGCGCAAGCTGTGAATGGCGAAAGCTGGGGCGCAACCAATGGATGGTATAACCCACAGCGTAACACATGGCGAAACAAATGAATGGCGCAACTTGTGGCATGATATGTGGCACAACCGATTAAAGGCGCAACCCCACGGCGCAAACTATGCTTGCCGCAACCTATGGCGCGTCCCCCATGGGTGGCGCACCGCATGTCGAAACCTATTGCTCAACTGATGTCGTGTTGGCACGGGGGGTGGTCAGGCTGGCTTCGGAGGCGGCCTCAGCTTCTGGTAATGACTCCCACGACGACAACGACGCCGACGGTGAGACCCTATCCGAGGAGGAGGAGGCCGACACGGGCATACAACGGTTGGCCCTCGCAATTTCGACGGGGCTGAGCCTGGTTTATGTTCGCCGTTTGAGCCGGCAAAGGGGCCAGAATGGCAAACTGTCTTAAGATTTGCTCCAACTGCATGGAATCCGTGGCGCTATCGAAAACGAGACGGCTTGAGCTTCGAACTTTGAAGAGCGGCATGGCGAAGGAGCCAGAAGTGTGCCGGCCCCTCCTCTCCCCCCTGCGCCTCCTCCTGCTGCTGCTTCGCCGTCTTCTTGTCCTCCTCCCCCTCCTCCGCCTCCTCCTCCCCCTCCTCCGCCTCCTCCCTGTTGTGGCAGTGGTGAAGTGAAGGAGCAGCCGCGCAGGCGCAGAATCAGCAGCACGCGTGCGGCGAGAAGTGGACAGCCCACGGCAGCCAATACGACCTCATCGTCAATCACATCGTCAAGTAAGTACGGCAAGGTTGACGGGCACAAGTCCTGGGGATGGCCTCCCAGGCGCAAATTCGCCACGTGGTGTGCTGGACGGTGTCAGATCACAAATCCAGGAGATGGCCTCCCTGGTTAGCGTCGCCACGTCTCGGAGTTCTGAAGTCCTCTCCATGGCCTCCCAGGCTTGGAGTCGCCACGGAGCGAGATCGATAGTGTAAGATCGTAGATCCAGCGGATGGCCTCCCTGGTTCAAGTCGCCACGCCTCGAGATTCGAGAGCACAGGGCGGCGTGGGGCAGGGCGAAGGCGATCTACAGGCAACCAGACATATCCAGCTCAACACGCTGGATGGCGATTCCGACCTGTTCGACCAGACCGACGACGAGGATGCATGAAGAAGCTGAGTCACGACTCCGAGGAGTGGTAGTACAACTTCGTCTACGTCCCCTGACGGGGGAGTGCCGCCGTAGAGGCGCATGAGAGGCGCGGGCGGGCCCGCGTCTTGGCCCGAGGCTAAAACTGCGTGCGCGCGGAGAGTCATTCATTCATTCATTCCTCCTCCTCCTCCTCATTCTCCTCCTCGTCCTTATATACACCCCCGTATTCCTCCTCCTCCTCCTCCTCCTCATCATCATCATCATCACTATCATAATCATCATCATCATCATCATCATCATCATCATCATCATCATCATCATCATCATCAGTAGCATAATCACCATCATCATCAGCATCAGCATAGCAATAGTCTTCTCATACTCCTCTGTCTCATCCGTATCACCTTCATCATCATCAGGATCGTTATCATCACCATCACCATCAGCATCACCATCATCATCAGCATCATCAGAATTCTCATCATCTTCACCATCATCATCATAATCGTAATCAGCATCATCATCAGCATCATCATCGTCCTCAGCGTAATCCTCATCCTCATCCTCATCATCATCCTCATCATCATGATCAGCAGCATCCTCCTCCTCCTCTTCCTCCTTCTCCTCCTCCTCCTCCTTCTCATCATCATCATCATTCCTCCCCCTCCTTGAAGTACCATGGCCCTGGGGCCCCTTAACCCTGTTAGTGGGACCCGTTTACTGGCGCCACCGTGCCATCACCCTCGAAAGCACGGCGGCCTCCTCCTCATCCCTCCTGCCGCCTCCTGCCTCCCTCTCTGCTCCCTCCCTCCCTGAACCCCTTCGCCCCACCTCAGCTCTGGGGTGGGGGTTCGGGGGAACGCGGCTGGTCAATCGCGCCCGAGGGCCCTCACCGGCGAGCACGCGGCGCCCCAGTACCGACCTAGGCTCGGCTGCGAAGCGAACGCGTGGCGTCGCTTCGCGCTGCCTGACGCTGGGTGGGAAGCCCGCCTTTGCCCCCAGGCCTCCGGGCATCTTGGAATAAAAGTCACGCGGGGCGCTCTTCCCAGTGTCGGCCACCAAAAACAATGGACTCTGCTCAAGAAATTTACGCATATCCGCCTTCTGGCCGCCTGGCACTGAACGGAATGTAATCAGACCCACCAGCAACATTTCTTTCTGCGTGCCAGGGCCCAGACCACAATATCAAGATTCCCCGAGGATTCTCGCGTGATGTCGGGTGACGCCAGGGGCGCGTCGCGTACCTTTTCCTGGAGCCAGAAGTTTGAAAGGGGGCCGGGAGGCCCGACCAAAAGCTTCGCCTTAGGCGAAGCGCAGCTCCTACTCTGTTGTACCGTAGTAACGATAGTCCCAAGTCGCAGGAGGTCGTCGCTGGAGCGACGGGCCATCTCAAGCGAAGGATGCGTTCGGTCTCGATGGCAAGTAGTACGTCTCGCAATGCGGCACAGTCATATGTTGGCGGCCGGCCGCTTGAGCCCAAGCGGCCACGGACAAACGCTCGCTATCTCTCGCCCGTGTCCCAGCTCGTTTTTGAGTCGGGGGGGATGGAGACGAAGCGTGAGTCCGCCGCCCCTGTACAATAAACACTATCTATACAAAAGGCAGCAAAAGGCGGGTTCGTAAGGAAGGTGAACCCGCAAGCAAGTTTCCTTGCGACCACATCGCTGTGCAAGCGATTTCTACTCAGGCGGCCTCAGACGACGCTGTCTGGCCAGCCCGGTAAGGAGTATGACGTTTTAGGTCATGCTTGAAGGATCGCGTGCCTCCCATGACCTGTAGGAGCATATCTCTGTCAATGCTCCCTTTTGTGTGACCGTCCGCGGTCATGTCGCGAGTGTCACACCACTGGATACTACGCACGATTCCTCGCTCCATCATCTGTCGTATACAAGTGATGTGTCCCAAAAGAGTACACTCAGTCGGCTTCTCCAGGTCTTTGCTTGACAAGGACTTGAAGGCAGATTCAGCATCTATGGCCAAAGTGACCTTAATGCTCAGGCCATCCATCTCCGGTATATCCTTCAACTGAGTGGGTGTCAGTGGCCTTGCGTGGAGTTCGTGCAGTGTCACGATCGTGGGATAGCAGTCCTCCAAGTTGCGGGCTGCTGCTAGTGTTTCTGCTGAATAGCTTGAGCGGGCCTGCAAGCGACGAGACTTGCAGTGCGCATCGATCAGATGGACGACAGGCGTACCCAGTTGGCGTGTTTCCACGCCGTAGCAGGCTTGCCCCGCGAACACCATAGCCTCTGACCTCGTCATCGGCATCTCCACTCAGGCGTCGATAGCCGGAGTCGCTGCGCAGGTCAAGCTTCCCCGTTGGGGTCATCGATCGATAGAGGATCTTCTCAGGGCAGGCCTGCAGCTCCCTGGTAATCGCGTTCAGTCGTCGCACCTGTACATTGGTCGGTTATTGGACACGTTGTAGAGAGACCACATATTCCACCAGTCACACCTGCGTGATTAATGCGTAAGCCAACGCCCCTCTGAGGCTGACAAACATGTCAGCAACCACATTTGATGCTTTGGCGCCGGCGTCTGCGCCTGCGAGTTCAGGATGTTGTATAGGGCGGAGCTGCTTGATATATACATCTTGATCCAGTGTAACATTGCCGTCCCCATCCTTGGCGTATCTCACAGCGCACTTGATATACGTGTGTTTGCTGAGTTTACACTTGCCAGAAGTGTCCTCGACGCGCGTGCCGCGCCTGTCGATTGTGCCCTCAATGCCGGCCATATTGATATCATCAACATGTTTGGCTGTGAGGTTGCCGCTTGCCCCGAACTCCTCGTCGACGGACGTGGGGCTGAGACCCTAGCCTCTCGTGGTCCTTCTGAGCTTCAGCGACAAGGCTCTGCGTGCATCCTCGGCGCCTGTGCCTGGCCTGAAACGCTGCATGCAATGCTTCGACTCGTCGCAGTGCTCGAATCCCGGGAGGGATCGAAGCGCCGACGCTGATCCAGGCGGCAAGGTAAAACACGCCACGCGTTCCTTTTCACCGGATGCCTCAGCAAGTTCCTGGTAGGTTAACCTTTTCAGGAAAGCCATGTTGATGTCAAGGGAAGCAATGACCCATTGCTGCTTGCACGCTGCCGTGCTTGCGAGTAACCTCTGACTTGACAGCCGCGCCGTTCCTGAGAATGTTTCCACTTCGAAAGCCTCGAGGTCCATGAAACCCCGAAGTACCAGGCTAGTCTGGTGGTGCGTTCCATCTCGCCCTTCTCGTTTTTT